CTACTCCCGAAATTGCTAAATTGCTCGAGGAACTCACAAAGCGAGTCGAAGCCAACGATAAAAAAGTAGAAACATATAATTCCAGGGTCGATCAGATCCTGAGAGCTCCATCAATGATAAAAGGGTTTGATTCAAAAAAATTCGTACAAAAACCTTTTCCCTCGAGCGCAGCCCCAAAACCAATCCCCAAAAAATTCCGTATGCCCGAAATTCCCAAATATAACGGAACGACCGATCCCAACGAGCACGTCACTTCTTACACATGTGCCATCAAGGGCAATGATTTAGAAGACGATGAAATCGAATCCGTGTTAAAAAAATTCGGAGAGACCCTCTCGAAGGGAGCAATGATTTGGTATCACAACCTACTACCAAATTCCATCGACTCGTTCGCCATATTAGCAGATTCTTTTGTGAAAGCACATGTCGGCGCCATAAAAGTCGCAACAAGGAAATCGGACCTCTTCAAGGTAAGACAAAAGGATAACGAGATGCTGAGGGGGTTCGTATCTCGTTTTCAGATGGAACGGATGGATCTGTCACCGGTCACAGACGATTGGGCTGTTCAGGCTTTCACTCAAGGTTTGAACGAACGAAGTTCGACGGCTTCACGACGGTTAAAGCATAACTTGATCGAATACCCAACCATCACGTGGGCCGACGTGCACAATCGATACCAATCAAAAATTAGGGTCGAAGATGATCAATTGGGGTCTGAACCCGCTGTTGGAAGAGATATTAATCGAGAACAAGGTCCGATCGGGGATCGATACCGACCGTACAACGGAAACCGCAGAGTCAGTGAATCGAGACATAACCCCGGGCAAAATAACAAAAGAAGTGATCGAGGTCAAGGGTCCTGGGGGCTGATGAACAAAAGTAGGTTCGATAGGCCTGTCGGATCTAAGGAAGCGCCTCGGTTATCGGAATATAACTTCAGCATTGATGCATCCGCCATCGTGTCGGCTATCGGACGCATCAAAGACACTAAATGGCCTCGACCCATGCAGACCGATCCTGCCCAGAGGAATCCCAATCAAATGTGCGAATATCATGGCACCTATGGCCACAGAACGGAAGATTGCAGGCAACTAAGAAAGGAAGTAGCCCGATTATTCAACAAAGGGCACCTTCGAGAATTTTTAAGTGATAGAGCGAAGAGCCATTTTAAAAACAGGGATTTCGGCAAGCAAAACGAACAAGAAGAACCATAGCACGTCATTCACATGATCATCGGCGGCGCCGATACCCCTCAGGGACCGGTGCTTAAACGCACTAAGACATCGATTGTGAGAGAGAAGCGATCTCGAACTCAAGATTACACACCCATAGGAACTTTATCCTTCAATGATGAAGATGCAGAAGGAGTCATACAGCCTCATAACGATGCACTGGTAATATCCGTACTCTTGAATAAAACTAAAGTTAAGCGTGTGTTGATTGATCCAGGTAGCTCGGCCAACATCATTAGATTGAAGGTCGTAGAACAACTCGGCCTGCAGGACCAGATCGTACCCGCAACTCTGGTTCTAAACGGATTCAATATGGCATGTGAAACCACCAAAGGCGAGATAATTCTACCGATAAACGTGGTCGGGACCATCCAGGAAACGAAGTTCCACGTGATCGAAGGCGACATGAGATACAATGTCCTTTTTGGAAGGCCATGGATCCACAACATTAGAGCTGTACCTTCGACCCTACACCAGGTCCTTAAATTCCCAACATCGAGAAGAGTCAAAACAGTGTACGGAGAACAACCAGCCGCAAGAGAAATGTTCGCCGTCGAGGAAGTGAAACCAATATCCTCGTCTTCGCTAGTAAAGGGATCGGGCTCAGAAGGGGAACGAGATACCAAATAGCAATCACAGACATCGGCTTTGACCCAACCAGATAACCAGAGGATCGAAGAAGATGATGATCAAAGGATCCCTCGATCCTTCGTGATTCCCGATGATTCCGACGCTACCAAATCAATGATTGAGGGATTGGAGCAAGTCACACTAATCGAGCTCTGGCCCGAACGGAAGGTATACCTAGGGAAGGGGTTGACCCCCGATCTCAGGAGGAAACTTATTCAATTTCTTATCGATAACATTGATTGCTTTGCCTGGTCCCATTTAGATATAACAGGGATCCCACCGGACATAACGACACATCGGCTAAGCTTGGACCCCAGGTTCAGACCGGTAAAACAAAAGAGAAGACCCCAGTCCGAGGTAAAACACGCATTCATAAAGGACGAGGTAACCAAACTTCTCAAGATAGGATCCATTCGGGAGGTGAAATATCCCGAATGGTTAGCCAATGTAGTTGTAGTGCCTAAAAAGGGAACAAACTTAGAATGTGTGTGGATTATAAGGATTTGAACAAAGCATGCCCTAAAGATTCCTTTCCGCTGCCCAACATCGATCGCATGATCGATGCCACGGCCGGTCACGAGATCCTTACTTTTCTCGATGCCTATTCCGGGTATAATCAAATCCAGATGAACCCGGAAGACCAGGAAAAGACTTCATTTGTCACCAAAGCTTAAAGAACGGAAAGCTCCCATCGGACTCTAAAGATTCAAGGGCTCTACGAACCAAAGCTGCTCGATTCACGTTGGCTTTAGATGGAACGCTATACCGAAGGACATTCGATGGACCATTGGCAGTATGCTTAGGTCCGGGAGATACCGATTACATCCTACGTGAGGTGCACGAGGGCACTTGTGGGAATCACTCTGGTGCCGATTCATTAGTCCAAAAAATAATTAGGGCAGGGTATTATTGGATCGATATGGGCAAAGATGCAAAGGAATTTGTTCGAAAATGTGACAAATGTCAAAGGTTTGCATCAATGATCCATCAACCCGGAGAGCAACTTCACTCAGTCCTATCCCCATGGCCATTCATGAAATGAGGAATGGATATCGCCGGCCCTCTACCATCGACCCCAGTAAAGCTAAGTTCATTTTATTTATGACCGACTATTTCTCTAAATGGGTTGAAGTACAGGCATTCGAGAAAGTAAAAGAGAAAGAGGTTATAGACTTTATCTGGGATCATATCGTATGTCGATTCGGGATACCCGCCGAAATAGTGTGTGACAATGGGAAACAATTTGTCGGCAGCAAAGTGACGAAATTCTTCGAAGACTACAAAATAAGAAGGATATTATCAACACCGTATCACCCCAGTGGGAACGAACAGGCTGAATCAACGAACAAAACTATCATTCAAAACCTAAAGAAGAGGTTG